GCCAAAAGGCCCAGATATTCCAGGGCAGCACCCCAGATCCATCAGGCTGGACCCTAGCGTGCCCGGCAACGTTACGACCCTGAAGCCGCTGGAGAATTTAACATTGAAAGGACACAGCATATGCAGGACGGTTTGCCCAACTCCCCCTTTAAGCTTATTAGAAGCACATTAAGAGCAGACCTCAGCTGGCTCTTCTGGCTGGTTACAGACGGGGTTTCTCTGGGTTAGCAGTTAAGCGTGCTTTTGCCCCAGAGCCACATCCTGCAGCTCCACACACCGCCCCCCAGCCTGAGACACTTAACATTTGGTCATTTATCAGCTGTACCTATGGGAAGAGGAAAGCCCAGCTGTGCTTCCTGATGCAAAAGCAAGGGCTTTCCCTAGACCCAAATGCCAGAGCAGGGCTAACAGCCTGCCCGCAGCCTGCCCGCGTGCTGCCTGGTCGACAGGTAGCAACCACAAGCAGCGGTCTGGCTCCACAGAGACCCAGCCCTGCCAGGGCTGAAGGGCGAGCAGATTTGCCCAGTGTCTCAGGAAGCATCAGGGAGCTCCGCAGCAGGCAGAGCAAGCATAAGGTGGCAAACCCTGGCTCCAAAAGAGCGTCTGCAAGGTCAGCACACCCCAGACACACACCCCACACACCTGCAGGGCTGCAAGGGCCCTCCCTCCTGGGCGTGAGCAGTGCCCTGCTGCCACAGGCAGCCGTGCTAAGGAGTCCCTTTTGTAACTGGATCCACGCTGTACTCCATACAGTAGCTAGGATTCTGCCTCTCCCCACACAAGCTGGAAGGCCGTTCAGAAACACGCAGGCTACTCGTGGGGTAAGCATTTCTAAACCGCACGTTCCTGCAGTACCAAGCCCTCCTCCAACATGGTTTATCCTGGGCTTTGTTTGCTGAAGCAACGTTAAAACGTGGCCAGACCGCCCCAGGTCCCCGGGCAGCACACAGCTTATCCGCAGCCCGTCGACAGTGCGAGCCACTGCGTTACTGGCCCATGAGTATGGATAAAGATGAATTACACTCCGTCTGGAACCATAGGGGATGTCCAGGGCACCAGGATGTTTCTGCTGCAACCCCACCACCAACTCCCACTTCAACTTCAAACTGTCTGGAGCACCACAACTTTGGGCATCAAAACCAGAATTACTGAAATATGGTGTCACGTCTGCCCCGACTCAGCATCTCCAAGGGAGAGGTTGGGGCTGGAGTAGCCATGAACTCCTCCTCTCCCACAGTCTGGCCCTTCCTCCTCCCTGCAGCACCCTCCACTCGGAGCAGAAGACTGGAAGGGTTTCACGTTGGTATTTTTGGCAATCTGTTTTTAAGAGCTTTCTGTGGCGCGTGGAAATGAGAAAAGGCCACAGAACGCCCCAAATAATCATTACATGTTAAGGATCAGAAAAATATTCTTGTATCTTTGCTCTCTGTGTTAAACCCACCAGGTGGAAAACTGAGCTTGAGAAGGGTTGCTGCAAAATATTCCTAGGTAATAGATACAATATGCTCAACGTGGATGTATTGTATACCTGTATCCCCAAACGCACACCGAGGATTTCAGGCGCAGAGAGCGCTTGCTGGCTCAGGACAGACAAGCACTTCCCACGGGAAGGCATTACCCATGGCTCATCGCAGCGCCCGGTTCGTGTTTGGCATGACCCACCCGCACCCCCTGCGCTACCCTCATACCAGCAAGTCTCATAGCAGGAGGGGAGCAAAACGTTTTCATGCGTTTCACATCTTCCCTGTGCTCCAGAGCATTCTGCCCCATGGTTGGAAGGGGCAGGCGACAACCAGCTCCGCTCCCAGCCTGGCTCCGAAGCCAGGGTGACCAGCTCAGCCTTCCCTATGCCCTGGCAACGCAGGTGCTTAACCAAGAGCCGTGCACCATCCACACTGGCCAGAGCAATGCCACGTGAGGTCTGCACACCCCAGGAACAAGGGTGCGGGGTGGCCATGTGCCTGCAGCCCCTCCAGACAGCAGCGCCGAAGGCAGGGACACGCAGTCTACCATAAATCAAGCATGCAAAGTGCTTAATGTGGCCCTCGCTTGGATTCACCATCTAACTGCTGCTCCTCTGAGTATGCTGGCAGTATGCTTCAGCGCCTGCTGCACAGCTCTCCCTGCTACAGGCAGGGGATTTCTGGGCCTGGGCAGTGAATCACACTGCTGCAGCCCATCAGAGCATCTCAGCTCGGAGAAGGGGACCCAAGGACATCCCACCCCCCCCCCAGCATCAGCAGCCCCACTTTCAGAAGAGCTTCCATAACCCCTTCCCGAGGGCTAACACCAAGTCTCCACAGGGCTTTCCTCCTGCCCCCCCTTCCGCCCATCCCTCCATGCTGCTCACCACACACAGGCCCACGGGGCTGCCTGCACGCACCAGCACTCACAGCTGCATCCTTCCTCTCCAGGGCTCGTCACACCGCACAGCCCTGGCCTGCGACACAAAACCTGCTCTAACGCCACATCGCAGAGCGCTTCAAGGCAAAGAGGAGCACGGCCGGACACCCAGGGCAGCCCCCTCCTCGCTGCCAGCACTCTTCTCCCCTGCCCATCCTGCTGCCCGCAGAGAGATGACCCGAAGGTCCCAGGACATGCAAAAAGGCCTTTTTGGGGGGCAGCGGGGCAGGCTACCCCTGGGCATTGCTGAGACCGGATCAGCCTGAGGGACATGCCTTCTCCCAGCCTGGCGTCCTGCAATCCCGACAGGTCCAACGCAGCCGCCGCCGAGTGGGCAGCTGCCTGGTCCCAACCGAGCTGTTCTGCCAAACACAACAAACCCTCCAGCCGGCACGCTCCCGCGCCTGCCATCCCCTGAGGACGCTCTCAAGACCAGTGGTGCTATACTGCGGAAGGGGAAACCGGGGGGCTGCAGGATGGGTCTATAGTGGTGCTAACTGCGGAAGGGGAAACCGGGGGGCTGCAGGATGGGTCTATAGTGAAGCCCCCCATGCTGCAGCCACGGAACGGA